TTTGTACCAATAAATATATATATATATTATTTGCTTCATTTTAGGTGAGGGTGAGGATACACATTACTAATTTCAAAAAATGTGTGTCTCACCTCCTGCCTAAAATGAACATTTTAATAGCAAAAGAACTTTTATTGTATAAATGTATTTTTAAACCAACTAGAATATTTTATCTTCCTGTTTTTGATAATCACCACTGACCAGTTCATCCATTCTGACCATGAGTGATATATGATTTTGTAAGACATTTTATGCCCCCGCCAAATAATGGCTGGGGCATATAGTGTGGCCCTGTTCCGTCATTCCGTCCTTCTGCCCTTCCGTCATCATCAGTTTCCGTTCATTATCTTTGTAACGGCTGCACACATTCAACTCAAATTTGGCATATGGATATATCATGAGAAAATATGGGTCAAGTTCGAATTTGGTTATGGTTCAATGATTTTTTGCAGAGTTATGCCCCTTTTATTATGAAAATAATATGAAATTTTCAGTTTCCGTTCATTATCTCTCAAACGGTATTACACATTCAACTCAAACTTGACATATGGATATGTCATGAGAAAATACAGGTCAAGTTCGAATTTGTTCATGGTTCGATGATTTTTGGCAGAGTTATGCCCTTTTTACCATGAAAATAATATAAAATTTTCAGTTTCTGTTCATTATCTCCCCAACGGTATTACACATTCAACTCAAACTTGACATATGGATATGTCATGAGAAAATACAGGTCAAGTTCGAATTTGGTCATGGTTTGATGATTTTTTGCAGAGTTATGCCCCTTTTCCTATGAAAATAATATGAAATTTTCAGTTTCCGTTCATTATCTCCCCAACGGTATTACACATTCAACTCAAATTTGACATGGATACCTCAAAGGAATACACAGGTCAAGATCAAAGTTGGTCATTGTTCAATGATTTTTGGCAGAGTTATGACCCTTTTACTTTGAAAATATGAAATTTTCAGTTTCCGTTCATTATCTCCCCAACAGTTTTACACATTCAACTAAAATTTGACATATGGATACGTTAAAGAAATGCGAAGGCCAAGTTTGAATTTGGTCACGGTTCAATGATTTTTTGCAGAGTAATGTCCCTTTCACTTTGAAAATAATATGAAATTTTCAGTTTCTGTTCATTATCTCCCCAACACTGTTACATATTCAACTCAAATTTGACATATGGATATTTCAAAGGAATGAGCAGGTCAAGTTCGAATTTGGTCATGGTTCGATGATTTTTGGCAGAGCAATGTCCCTTTCACCTTGAAAATAATATGAAATTTTCAGTTTCCGTTCATTATCTCCTCTAGAGTACTAGTATTACATATTCAACTCAAATTTGACATATGGGTACATCAAAGAAATACGCTGGTCAAGTTCAAATTTTGTCATGGTTCGATGATTTTTGAAGTATATATGAGATATGGATCAAACTAGATATTTCCTCTTACAGCACCAGAAGAAAGCAGTTACCTTATATAACACCATACCTGGTTCAATTAGGCTACCAGATTCAGCTTAAATGAATATATCTACTATCATTACTCCTAGCCTTTTCAAGGACTGGTTGTGTCCATACAGAAATTTGGTAGGGGATATTAAATAATTGTTCTTCAAAAGTCAATTTTACAGGTGTTTTCAGGTTGTATTTCAGTATAAAATTCAAAATAAATATATTAACAAACACAAATCTATAAATAAACATGAATATAAATAAACATGGCTTTGTGAGTCAGTAATATATGCTACAACATTTTATGTATATGCCACAAAATGTTTAAAATCACAATTATTTCAGAAATATAAATAGAATTAAAACAACAATGTTCATTCAAAAAAATCAATAACAACACTGAATCAAAATATTTGTCATCCCACTTACAAAGAAATCACTCCTGTTACAATGAAAATGTTAAATAAAGATTTTCATACAAAATAAGGTAATCTAAGAGAGCAAAATAAGATAATATATAACTGGTTCATTATGTAACAGATTATCAGACAACATAAGGTCTCATATTATTTCTTTTAAACCATAACCTGCTATATTTCTTATACAGAATTTTCAAGCTCCTATTTTTGAAATGTTCTAAAAATCAATTTTGGGGTTTACAAGATAAAAATTTTGGATTAGTCAGTCAACTGAGTTTTACAGCCGGGGTTCAAAATTTGCACTGAAATGAAGGCTAGCCTGGCACTATACTGGAAGCAAAAGAAAATGGGCCTTTTCTTTTCCCCCTTTCCAAGTGGGGTAAGTGTTATATACTGAAAACCCTCAGTTTATCTTTCATAAAAAACTGTTCCCCTTTAAACCCCATTCATTATACTTACGGTAAAACACATTGAAAAAAATTTATTTGTTATCAACTAAATTAACAGTAAAAAATCTGCTAAAGAAAACTAAAAGAAAACCCAAAATTTTTTAAAATTCTACAATTTTTATAAAAAGTTTTAAACCCTTTTTTTCCCCAAACAAAAACTTTCTGTAAGTTAGCTGAATTTAACTTCCTCACACATGAAAGAATCCAAAGGCCAAGTTTGGATTCAAACCCACAGTGATTCAGGGGCAAGTGGTTTGAAGTCAACAACCTCTTACCACCCGGCCATGGACACTTCAAAATAGTACTGGTAATCTAAAGTTTGCGCACTGGCAATTATTAAAAAACTTTATGTTTACTAAAATGTTTGCTAGGTAACTAACTAAATTTTCTTTTGATATTTAGATCTACATACAGGGCAAGAATTATTTGTTTCCATACTTAATTCCTTTCAAACATTTTTAAACAAGTGGCATGAAATACATGAGAACAAGACAGCAACACAGTTGTCGACTTGACCTTTGAACTTTCCTCACTAGATATTGACTGGTCCTCTTTTGTTTGTCTCTCATGTTATTTATTTTCACCAGTTTTTTAGAGATTTCCCTGTAGAAGACTTTGGTTTATTATGAATTTTAGTGTCATTTTTTGTAGACTTAGTCTGGTTAGTTGTGGAATTGTCTGGTTGTTCAAATATAACTTTTCTTGATGAGTGAAGTCAAAACATATAGGGCAATCAATGATGTCCACGCTCTCCGCTGCAAACATAAAATTATAGCATCCATTAAATCAAAAAGATATAAAGAACCCAATGGTATTTGAATCTAATTCTGTTGTGGTTCAAATTTAAATACTTTGTAAAACAAGAACCTTTGAAAAAAGCAACAAAGATAAGAGTTATAAAATGAACTAGTTTAGAAAGATGGGATAAAAATCTAAATCTTCAATTAATTTCCTATATACAAATTGCAGTAAAAAAAATTCCTCATTCTAAACAAGTGATGTGACATTCAAATAATGTAAATACATTTGTTATCTTTTTTTTCTTGTAATAAAATCTTGTAATACAACTCCACAGTCCTCATCATATTAAATATTTACCAATCCTATTTTAATTTTACATGACAAAATATTCAAACAATTAAACAAGGCCATGCTTTATCTCAACAATGGCAAGAAAATGCAATATTTCACAAAGAAATGGACAAAAAAATTTATTCATGCAGACACCTTAATGACAAGATTTTGACTGTTCAGTGTGTTCATGTAAATGATAACATCTATCATTGCAGCATTTCATATATAGCTTTTTTGAACTTATAAACGTCAACAACATGTTTGCTACTGTAAAGGGCATTCAAAGCATATGAATATTTTCCCATTGTACAAACTACTATCCCATATTTAATATTGTTAAAAGTTAAAAACATACAACATGGGAAGTGAAATAATGAATTTTTGGTCACTTTAAACTACTTTACAAAGACTTATACATATCAGTATGCATTTTGTGAAATATCAAAATATAATTCAACATGTAACAAAAAATTTGGTTCACAAATGCAACTACAGTTACCAAAGTTCATATGAGTGATCGAAAGATTGTAACACTTACCAATTAAAAACCTGTTTTTTAATGGAGACTGAATACATGATTTATAAATTACTTTATATCCTAATGTGTAAAGACTTATAAAAAAGTTCTTCCCTTGATCTTGGATGTAAGCAAGAAGATTCTGACCCAACCAAAGATGTTTCTTAGTCTTAATATGAGCCATACCATATGGATAGGGAACTTAAAACAATTTTGCTCCAAATTTGGAATTTACTTATGTTACTGGTAATACATACATGTATGTACTATGAAAACAGGTTATTTTCTTATGGACAATATTACTCAACTATAAAATGGGTCTACAAAATACCTAAAAATTAAACAATTACTAAAACAATCATTGTGTGAGTCATATCAAAACATTTTACATGTGGACAAGAAAATTGTTCATGATAAAGTGATGAAACAGAAACATATGTGAAGACTGACTTCTATCCAGTGAAAATTTGATCTAAATATGACAATTTAACATCAGAAAACTCACCTTAAAATCTTAAGATATAATAAATGGAATAACAAAATGATGTAGAGCTAGCACTGCTTGCATGGGCAGATTTTGTTGTCGCCAGTAGGCTAAGGGTTCAAATTCATCAAATTATGTCTTCTTTATATAATTTCTTATATGTGTTATCAATAAATATTTAAATGAAAACTACAGAAAATTTTTTTTGATAGCTGAGACTATGGGAATGACAAATACAGAAAGTTTTAAAGATATACAATTCATCAGCAATAAAACCTGAAATAAATTCTCTGAATCATGTTACTTCTCTTTTCAGTCATAGTTAAAGTAATATATATTATAACATTTTTCATGTGAAAATTCACATCATATAGACTCTAAAATTATTTCAAATGTATCTAAACACAAATGTATCAATCTTAACTTCTGCTTGATTTCATATAATTTTCCAATTCACAGAAAATGAATACCCTTGAAGGAAGAATGCTTAAAATTGATATGATGCACTTTTCAAAGATAAAATTACTGAAATATTTAGTTTGAAACAACACAGAATTTTTTTTTCCAATAAAAAATAAAACCTGGAGGTCACTTTAAATGCTTTTCAACATAAATTCAATGTTACCTTAAGCTGTATAGCTTCCCATTCCTCCTCAGAAATCTGCTGAAATCTTGCATCAAAATCTCTGAAAACATTACGGCTAGCTTCTAAACTCTGATCCATTTCCCTCAGGAAGCTGTGTACATCAAAGTCACATGACCTTACCATTCTGTCTGTGATCTTGTGTAGCTAAAATAATATCCAATATGATTATATAATATCAGTCCTAAAACTAAAACAAGAGGGCCATGATGGCCCTGAAGTCGCTCACCTGTATATAGGCCCCCAGAGCGGGGCCAGTTTAAACCCAAGGGCTTTTATTTGAACAAACTTGGTAGACACCCATTAGAAGATGTTTCATGCTAAACATCTAAGGTCAAGCTCTTTGGGTTCTTTAAAAGAAGATTTATTAAGTTTTTACTATATGCATATAGGGAAAATCAATGACCCCCGGGGCGGGGCCAATTTTGACCCCAGGGCTTTTATTTGAACAAACTTTGTAGACACTTACTAGAAGATGTTTCATGCCAAATATCTAAGCTCTACCTCTTTGGGATTTTTAAAAGAAGATATTTTAAGTTTTTTCTTTCGGTTGCCATGGCAACCAGAGTTCTGTATGGAATTAAATTCTTTGAACAATTTTTAAAGGCTGTCTACAAAGGAACATTCCTGTGAAGTTTGGATGAAATTGGCTTAGTGGTTTATGAGGAGATGTCATTTAAAGTAAAAGTTTACGGACGGACGCCGGACAAAAAGCGATCTCAAAAGCTCACCCTGTCACTTTGTGACAGGTGAGCTAAAAAAACATATCCAATGTGGTTGGCCATTGATGAAGTTTAATTGAATTACTCTGTAATAAGTCCAGAAAGACAAAGAAAAGTAACAAAGGGCAATAACTCTGTAATTAGTCAAGATGGAGTTATGGTTCTTGTGCACTTTCTCTCAATGTGCTTGACCATTGTATGAAGTTATATTGAATTCCAACCATTAGTCTTCAAGTTATGGTCCGGACTAAAAAGGCAATGGAAAAGTAACAAAGGGCAATAACTCTGTAATAACTTTAGATAAATTTATGGTTCTTGTGCACTGCACTTCCCCTTATTGTGTTTGACAATTGTATGAAGTTGTTTTGAATTCCAACCAGTAGTTTTCAAGTTATGCCCCGGACAAGGAAAAGTAACAAAGGGCAATAACTCTGTAATTAGTCAAGATAGAGTTATGGTTCTTGTGCACTGCATTTCCTCTCAATGTGCTTGACCATTGTACGTAGTTATATTGAATTCCAACCATTAGTCTTCAAGTTATGCTCCGGAACAAGGAAAATGCAACAGACGTCTGGACCAACCGACCGACAGCCCGACCGACCAACCGACCACCGGGTGACTCCTATATAACCCCCCAAACTTCGTTTTTGGGGGTATAAAAAACATAGATCCAGATTATAAAAGGTAAATCTTAAAGCTCTGCATATTATATATTAAAATGATTTTATGCCAATTTTTATTTTTAAACAGCCTTTACTGTGAAAAACTCCAACCGAATACATAAAATGCACAATTTTTCATCAATTAAATTTGTTGTCCAGATATAGTTTTTTATGCAATCTTGGCAAGCTAATAAAAAACATGATATTGTCAGTTTCAATCTGCTTCATATCAGAAGAATGTTACAGCAAACAGTTACCTTTTCTTCATAGAATTTCTGCCTCAATTTGGGATCTTTTGGCGGATTAGATTCCCTCAGTTTAACGTACATACATCGAACTACATAACCCCTCCAGTTCGCTTGAATCCTAGCAAAAAGAAACAGGAGAAATGAGTTATGAAAAAAAAATACAACAAGTTCAATGTACTCAATCATTATGAAATTTTGATTTTTGTCATTGATAAATATATAGGTCTATGAGTATACAAAAACACTTAAGAAACTAATGGTATAGCAGGTAAATGTCTTTTATTTCATGTCAGTCTTTATTATTAATATGAACATGTCCGATTGACTTCTCACATAATTAACAAGATCCGGTTTGAACCCGGTGATGCTCCCCAGATAAGTTTTGGATACAGAAAAGTACACATCTTGTAGTTTCAAAGTTATGTCATGGACAAAGTTCAAAGTGTAACAAGAGCTGTCCGTAAGACAGCGCGCTCGACTTTTTTATTGCTTGCCAATAAAAAAAGTTTTTGCAGTAAAAGGCAATACAAGAATCTCTGTATTTTTAAAGTGAACAATGGCCATGAGCATTAAGATATTTAGTGAAGAATTATTTTACTGAATTGTGTGATACCCTTGAACACTGCAGCAAAGTTTGAAATGTTTAAGTCAAAAGAGGGCTGGTAAGAAAGAAAAAAAAACTGAGTTGAGCCTTAAATAAATTTAATAGTATTAAACCCACTTTGAGAGAATAAGGTATTTTTACGTCACTCAGAACACCTTGGTAAATGACATAATAACATAATTTTTCAAGAAATCTATGCCAAGGAAGCAGTATATTTTTGTACAATCAGCATAATATATAGATTTGACTTTGTATGTGAAAGTATTATAGTTACCTTATAATACAAGTAATAGATAAATTTTATCAAGCTTTTTTAGATGTTGTCAGTTGGTCACAAGTGGATCTCTTTCACACAGGCTGTGGGTGACTAAAAACTTAACCAAGATTCTAAGTCGATAAAAGGCCTTAATTTTTAAAACAAATCCTTGACAGAGTTACCTTCTCTTGCGTACAGATGGGGGTAATGATGTGAAATAGCATTAAAAGTTTCAAAGCAATATCTCAAAGGGTTAAGGCAATAAGTGGATTTTACCCATATTCAATGTATTTTCTAAGTCAAAAAGGGGCATAATTCTGTCAAAAACCTTGACAGAGTTATGTCCTCTTGTCTGTTGATGAAGGTCGTGATGGTAAACAAGTATGGTCAGTTTCAAAGCAAATACCTCCAATGGTTTTGAAATAAAGTGAGGTGGTACAAAAAACTTAACCAAGCTCAATACACTTTCTAAGTCAAAAAAGGGCCATAATTCTGTCAAAAACCTTGACAGAGTTATGTACTCTTGTCTGTAGATGGAGGTTATGATGGTGAACAAGTATGGTAAGTTTCAAAGCCATACTTGTAATACTTCTGAAATAAAGTGGGGTGGTACGAAAAACTTAACCAAGGTGTGACGCCAACGCCGACGCCGGGGCGAGTAGGATAGCTCCCCTTTTCATAGAAAAGTCGAGCTAAAAATGAACAAAGGGCATTAACTTCACAATAAGGCAAGGCAGAGTTTTGGTTCTTTTGCACTGCATATCTACCTAATGAGATCTATCTACCTACAAAGTGTCTTGTTCATATCTCTTATACTTTCAGAGCTATGTCCTGGACAATGTTCAAAGTGTAAAAATGAACAAAAGGCAATAACTCCAAAATAAAACAAGAGGGCCATGATGGCCCTGAAGTCGCTCACCTGTATATAGGCCCCCCGAGCGGGGCCAGTTTAAACCCCAGGGCTTTTATTTGAACAAACCTGGTAGACATCCATTAGAAGATGTTTCATGCTAAACATCTAAGGTCTAGCTGGTCAAGTTTTTTCTTTACACATATAGTTAAAAACAATGACACACCTGGGGCAGGGCCAGTTTTGACTCAAGGGCTTTTATTTGAACAATCTTTGTAGACACTTACTAGAAAATGTTTCATGCTAAATATCTAAACTCTAGCTATTCGTTTTTTTTCAAAGAAGATTTTTAAGTTTTTGCTATACACATATAAGGAAAATCAATGTCCCCCAGGGCGGGGCCAATTTTTACCCCAGGGCTTTTATTTGAACAAACTTTGTAGACACTCACTAGAAGATGCTTCGTGCTTAATATCTAAACTCTAGCTATTTGAGTTTTTTCAAAGAAGATTTTTTAAGTTTTTGTTATACACATATGGAAGGAAAATGAATGACCCCCGGGGCGGGGCCAATTTTGACCCCAGGGCTTTTATTACAACAAACTTGGTAGACACTCACTAGAAGATGTTTCATGCTTAGTATCTAAACTCTAGCTATTTGGTTTTTTTCAAAGAAGAATTTTTAAGTTTTTGCTATACACATATATGGAAAATCAATGACCCCCGGGGCGGGGCCAAGTTTGACCCCAGGGCTCTTATTTGAACAAAATTAGAACATGTTTCATGCTAAATATCTTAGCTCTAGCTCTTTGGGTTCTTTAAAAGAAGATTTTTTAAAGTTTTTTCTATATGCATATAGGGAAAATCAATGACCCCCTGGGGCGGGGCCAATTTTGACCCCAGGGCTTTTATTTAAACCAACTTGGTAGACACCCATTAGAGGATGTTTCATGTTAAATATCTTAGCTCTAGCTCTTTAGGTTCTTTAAAAGAAGATATTTAAGTTTTTACTAAATGCATATAGGGAAAATCAATGACCCCCTGGGGCGAGGCCAATTTTGACCCCAGGGCTTTTATTTGAACAAACTTGGTAGATACTTACTAGAAGATATTTCATGCCAAATATCTAAGCTCTAGCTCTTTGGGTTTTTTAGAAGAAGATATTTAAAAAAAATTCTTTTGGTTGCCATGGCAACCAGAGTTCTGCATGGAATTAAATTCTTTGAACAATTTTTAAAGGTGACCACCAACGGAACATTCCTGTGAAGTTTGGATGAAATTGGCTTAGTGGTTTATGAGGAGATGTCATTTAAAGTAAAAGTTTACGGACGCCGGCCGGACGCCGGACGAAAAACGATCACAAAAGCTCACCCTGTCACTTTGTGACAGGTGAGCTAAAAAGGCAGGTTACAGTTCTTTTGCACTGCACTTTTTCTCAATGAGTTCTATCTACATACAAAGATTGAAGTTGATAGCTCTTGTACTTTCAGAGTTATGTCCCGGACAAGAAGTCTGCAATGGACTGACTAGTTGACTGCCTGCCCGACCGATCACCAGCTGACTCCAGTATACCCCCTTAAACTTCATTAGTCAGGGGTATAATAAAGGACAGATTGAAGCATAAACATTAAGGACAGACTGTGAGACAGACAGGCTACTATATGCTAAATAATCAAATACCAAGTGAGCAAAAAAATGAAGAAATCTATTACAATAATTACATTGTAGCACATTTATGTCTGTGATATCTTGATCCTTCATGAATAACTCTTGTTTGATACTGTTCTCTACGGCACATTGGACATGTCTTCTTTCCAGTAAACCTCTCAAAAGCTTGCAAACATGCCTGTTATAACACCAAAATATCATAATACATGTATAATTATATATTAACACATTCACTAGTCACTATGTCACTGTACATTGGGATTTAGTTGTTGATTTTGGAAGCATATATCAATTGTATCTAAAGTGAAAGGAAAATTAATATGTCTTCCATTAACATTTTACTTATTTCAGTACTTGAAACTTTGTTTGAAAAAAAAAATCTACCATTTTAGGGAAAAAAACTATTTTTTTGCAGAAATGGAAGTAAAATGTATAAACATGTGTATTAAAATACCATAATGAATATAACAGTAAATAAAGAGAGATACAATAATATATTACCCTGTGAAAGACATGAGTACAGGACAGAAGCACCTGAAAAAAACAATACAATGGTTCAAACAGATGGGGATACTCAAGTGTATTATTACATGCACAGCATGAAAATGAATGCTTACAATTTTTCTTTAATTGCAGTAATAATAAATAATGCAGTGTTTATCGTTTAAATGCTTGGTAATTTATCACTCTGGCCTACTGGCCTTTGTGATTATATTCCTGCACATTTGTTCTTGAACCATGCATTATTTCACAACATAGCACTCAACATTGATATTGATATTTCCTAATTAGAGTTTGCTCACAAAAAAAATTCAAATAATTAATATTGGCTGATAATTATATCCCAGTCTGCTCTGAATTTCATACATGCTGGTTTCGCTCTTGAGACTAATATCCTTTTCAATATCAATTTTCAAAACTTTAAAGCACTAATCTAATAATATGTTATGTGACAGCATATCCCTGACTGCATGTTTGTTAATTCATAGCCATTACCAAACAATACACTACTGTCACTAGACCATTTGTTATTTGTACTGAACAAAAAAAAATAAGACAAGACATATCTTGAACATTACAAGTACATTTGTATATAATATGCACAAACAATTCTACAAAACAGTTTTATTTACCTGTTCTTGTGTGCCAAAGTCCTCCTTACATATTACACATGGCATTTTAGAATCATCTCTTTTGTTAGATTTGTCTTTAGCTTTTTTCCAGTCTGTCTCCGTGAGAGGTTGTTCAGGGGCATCTACCAAACCAAACTTCTGAGCTGTTTCATGAAAATCAAGTTTATGAATAACAGCTTTATAAATGTATGTACTTCAAAGAAATTTGTTATTGTCCTACCTACTTTTTTGTCCAATGAATTTGATCCTATGTAGCTCCTTTTGAGCTGTTTAAATAGTTTGATTTTGAATAATTATTTCTTACCTTTTACATAAATGTCTTCTTTTTGTAAAAAACGTTAGATAACCTAAAATTCTCATATCTAATCATGCAAAAAACAAACAAAAATTTCAGAAAAACGGTATAATAGCTGACACAGTTTACATTGGATTAATGCTACTGACACATATTTTAAAGACCAAATGAAGGTATTAAAACATGCTGAAATATATCAAATAAAAAGGCAAAGAAATAACAAATATTGGTAATAACAAACCAAGTGTGAGTGGAGGAGGCTTTGGGTCTAAAACATATTCTCTCTCTTTTTCTTCTTTCTTCTTTACTTGAGGTTTATCTGAAAAATAATTCAAATATTTATTGTTTGTTTTTACTCCAATTTCAACACAGTGTTGATTATATCTCTTTCATTGGTCCATTTAACTGGCTTTTCTTGATAACTGATGAGTCGAGTAATTACCAAATTCTCTGCAAGTGTCCAACTACTAATCTCCTAATCAGTCATGAGAGACAAGTGACCATAATAGACTCAATGTCCAAGTTTATCACAGAAAAATTTTACCTGACATCAGTGACTGAATCAGAGGCTCCTATATTACAATCTCAATGCTATCCTAATTGTTCTAAGCAGGTGAACCAAAAAAATTTATATCAAAAATTAAAAAAAAAAATTAGATTATAAATGGGAAATAATTTCAAAATTTTTATGCTTAGAAGTCATTTATGCTTTCTTGAAATGAAAGTATCATGTAGAAATGGTGATATAAACTGTGCCATTAACCAATGAAGCTTGACACAAAAAATATATCTATGAGAAGATACTGAACTTCAATAAGTTTTCCCGCAAAACAGAGCAGTTAATTACTTGGCACAAAGAGGTTACAGTGCACTGTGTAGGACAAGCTATAAAATTTTAACTATATAAAATGATAACCAACAATTGTTAACTTTTGTGCAACAAACTGTTCATTAACCTTCATAAAAAAATATTAAACTGTGCATGATAAGATTAGTACATACTTCTGCCCAAATCGTCCAGTATCTATGGTTGACCGCCAGACTTTTTCTGTTTTTGCTCTTGCTGCGCAGGACCAACTCCAATATGTCTTGGACCAATGAAATCACTTAAGTCCAGAGACTTAACCAGGTGGTCTTGAAGAGCTTACTGCTGTTAATGCAGTGTTTCCTGTCTATATACAGAAATTAAAAAAAAATATGATACTAACTTTAGCTAAAAATTCATGTATGTGATACATAATAATAAAACAAAAGAAAGAACTTTGTGTTATAAATTACATATATTATAACTTTGTTATAAATCATTGATTCAATTAAACAATTATGGTTTGTCCATTAATAGGTTCTTATTAAACTGTAAGCTGAAACTATTTTTTCAATTTTGTTTTCATCATTAATTGAAATTAAATCAATTTGAAAGCACAATTATCAACTTGATTACATGGCAAAAAAAGTATCATCAGGGTTTCTTATATGATCAGCGACTGGGTATACTTAAAACCAGATAGAATAGGTCCTTGCAAGCTTGTAACATTCCATATCCTTAAAAATGTATCGTTCTCTTCAGTGCAATGTAAATCTTATGGTGAATCAATAAAATGCTCAAAATGACTGATTAAAAAAACAAATTGCTTTTCTGAAAAAATATAGTTTATCATTCCAGAAAAAAAATGTTAAGATTTCCTCTCTTTTTTTTTTCCAAATTTCAAAAAGATATAATTCCCAACAGCCTAGCCAAAATAGAAACTGTTACTAATTTCTGATAACTATTGATTGATAATTTACTTTGTTTTCTCAAAAGGAGAACAGGTTATACATAACTTTTTATTTTAAAATTTTCAAGACACCTGTATTATATTTTGAATTTAAGAAACAAAGTACTGATAAGTATTATCCCTATTAAAAATTGAATGCATAAATTGTAGATTTGTCCGAGGAATGTACTTATTGAAGCAAAAAACCAGGAAATTGGATCAGCTCAGGCCCTAATATTTTAGGACCTTATAACAAATTATGCAGTTGTTGCATCTAAGAATTTCAAAATAATTGGGGGAATTGTCCCTCACTCAAACTGAAAAATGTGGGGGATTTGAAAAATGATATGGGGGACAGGCATTTTAACTAACAATCATGACATACCGAAAAGAAATAATTTATTGTACGTTAAGGCATTTTTGACAGTTATTGTCAACTCAACAGCAAATGGAAAAAAAAATGACGAAAAAGTTGTGCAGATCAAACCATCAATTTACACGGGAGATGACCAAGTCAGGTGTGACTATCCGCGATTTAGTTCGTATTTTAGTCATTAAAGCAAGTGAAAACAAACATGGCGGAGCCTTCAGGATACGATTAAGATTAACTGAATTGAGTTGAAAAGATCGTCAGATGCACGACTTGGCATGGCAGCCATTGACTTCATTAAAATGTGTGTCATCTGCAAAAAATATGCTATCTCAGTATCTGGCCGAGATGCAAAACTGTTACCCACAGTGATTTTTTTCCCAATTTTCAAAACAACCTGTTCTTTCTGAAGGGAAAAATACAGAGCGATAAAGCAGAAAAGGGGATCCTGAAATCAAAAAATGGAATTTCACACACATTATATAGGAAAAAAATAATTTTGTTTGTTTGTTTGTTTGTTTCATTTTACGCCCTTTTCCACAGTATTTCAGTCATAATAGGTGGTAGTAAATTCCTAACCATCGTTCCTGGAGAGTTACACCAAGTTACAAGACTACCTTCCTCCGCGCTAAACTACCAAAGCATCTCCCGGGATCGAACCCACGCCATAAGGTAACTGGATTAGAAGTCAGCAACTGTAACCCCTCGACCACGGAGGCGGTCTAATTTTAATTCAATTTGTTACATGCATCGGTACATAGCAGAGGCTATCTATAGGGCAGATTTTTGTCTTCTAGCTAATATAAAACAGAAGCTTTAAGTCATGGTTCTGGTAAGGAAGAGCATGAGGCATTTTAGGGGAATAAATATTATAATATTTAGGGAAAAAGTATACCTACATTTATTTTGAACTAAGGGAAACAGCCTTTATTCAGCTGTAAAATACAGTTGAAAAAAATCATTGACCCACTATATTTGTATTACTCAACTTCTTAAATAAATTGCCTTTTTTTTATTTCTATTTTCATCAATCATTTATGAAAACATTGTTCATTACACAGTCTATCCTGGATGTTGTTACTTTATGTATGGAGATTGACATTTTTCATGGAATGTAGATTCCACTGGACTCAAATTTAAAGCAAAATTTTACGACTTTAAGGTACAAAATATATGTTTGTTTACGAAAAAACATTATACAATGGCACTTTTTAAAAAGGAAAGAGAGAATCTATTTACTATGTTATTAGATAAAATAGTGGCCGAATTGGTTTTGGGCCGAGTTGACCATTTGTTTACCAGAAACGGAACATAGGTTTTATCTACGTGTTTTAATTGAAAGAAAGAAACATTACCTTCTTTAATGTCTCCTCTTGTTTGATGACATTACAAACAATCAAACATAGAATATCTAAATATCGATTTGAAAAAAACGAAATTAAAAAATAAAATGAAATATTCTGGTTGCCTCTGACGCTTTCTATTTGGATTCTGATTGAGTTAGCAAATTATACGGTGCCTTACCTGAAAAATTGATCCTATCCCGAAAAAACGATAATTGAAAAATGACCGCCCAAAGCAATATAACACAGATATTCTGTGATTTTCAGCAGTTTCTCGAGAATGGAACAAACAGTTTACGAGAGGTATGACGGCTTAAAAACATCAACGTATTGCTGAAATAGAAACAGATTTGTAAACATGTGTCATGTTAGCCGGTTTCGGATAACAAATATTTCGGATATATTTTCCTAGGGTAGCTCTGATGAAAATGTCATGATATCTTGGTTGTATAACAGTATTCTTAAAAGTTGTAATTTTAACAATATAAAAAAATGCAAAAAATATTAGTCTCTGAAACTTTGTACAGTACTTCAGCTTGGAATTTAAAACAGTTTAACCCAGGCTACAAGTCAAGTCAAAAACCCGACCTCTAGCCAATAAATTGTGCGCTTTAGGGCTTAATTTTTATTATATAGATGATGGTCGCCCTCGCGACAGAACAGACATCTATGAAAAAATCAGATTATAAAATCGGTCGGTCTTGCAGTCGAAATATTGAGACTACCCAACCTCAAGTGAATACGGCCCAAAATTATTCAACCTGGCCCTAAGTCAATCTGATTTCTAGTCAGACTTGACACCATTTTTATTATTAGTTATTTGGCATTAATTTTTCTTCATTAACTTTTTCTAACTGAAGAAATAGTTTGAATAATTATTATTGCAAGATAAAAAAAGATTCATGATATCTAGAAGCACGTTAGCCGTTGTTACATGTATCAAAACTAGTATACTAATTGTTATTGTTTAATAAACAACTTATTTACATTACAGGAATCATCCCAGCAGACTGGTCAAAAGCCAATGTCACCCCAATCTATAAAAAGCGAGATAAGGGCACTCTTGCTAACTATAGACCTATATTCTTCACCTGTCCTCTGTAAATTACTTGAGCACATAGTAGCATCCAACATAACAAAACCTTTCCAGGTTAACAGCATTCCTTAAGACGTACCTTTCCAGGTTGAAAGATTGCTTAAAACATACAACATGGGTTTACAGAAAAAACTCAAAAAAGGTCATGTGAAACTCAGCTGTTAGAACTTATAGCAGACCTATCAAGAAACCTCAAGAACAAGGCCACCAGACTGATTTTAGTAATTTAGATTTCTCGAAAGGGTTTGATAAGGTTAAACCATCTTAAAACTCCTATTCAAACTACACCAGGGCTGTCAGTTTAGGGTCGGAATCTCACGAGTCAATGACTCTTTGACCATAATTTTCATGAGTCAAATTCAGAGTTTTCATGAATCAAATTTTCCAGAAGGTACATGTATATATTATTTGTATTATCAAACAATCAATTAAGTAACACATAGATACTAGAACAACATAGCTAATAAATGAATAGATTTTTAAATCATCTGATAAAAAGTTCATTAAGTCATCTGATGTGTATTAAACATAGCTCATTATCGATAAATAGTTCATTAAAAATAAGTCATCTGATGTGCTACTATGACTTGAAATAATCTGTATGTGGTATTCTATGAATCAACAGTTAAATAGCTAATAATCAAACAATTAAATTAAATAAGTAAAAGTCATGGTTCATCTGATATTATGAAAAGACAAAATGATCAAGTTATCAAGTATTCAAGTGATCAGTATTCAAGTTATGAACCAATGCATCTTCAAGATTGACAAAAAGTTCATCAAGTCATCAAATTAAGTCATATTTACAAACTTAACATATCTCACAGAGGTATTCTATGAAGCAAATATCTTGTTCTCATATTAAACATTTTTAAGTGAATAAATGTTTCATGATCCAATTAGGATTTTATACTCATTGTTTTCAACTCTAGTTTTCAACACTTAGTCAATAGTCTATATTTCATTTCCTTCTGGCAGTCTTTGTCATCTTGTTGAATCTCATTTCAATAGCACCTACATTGTCTCCCTCTTCCATGATTCTGATTAGTTTAGCCACTTTCTGGTGACTAAGAGAGGACCTTGCTTTCACTTTTAGTCTGTTTTGGGTTTGAAAATCACTGTTCACATTTCACACTGATTGTTAAAGGGGTAGTCAGCATACATTTGTATATTTACAAAGGATAGAATAGTCTGGGAAAATAACATTGTAGTCTGTTATGACTGAAGTGCAAACACTTGCCAATGACTGGCTTTTAAGATTTTTAACAGTCATCTTAAATTGCACAAAATCATCTTTCATTCGTATCACATCTACAAGTTCGTCATGACCCTAAAAGGGTCCTAGCCATTCACTTACTCTCTCCAACTCAGCTTCAGCATGAGATACTACATCAACACAGCATCGAAGGAAACACATTGCAATGGGTAAAATCATTCTTGATTGGTCGCCACCAGTCCATTATAGTAGATTAGGGAAATGTCAGATGAGGTAACTGTAACATCTGGGGTCCCCCAAGGCTCTGTCCTAGGTCCCCTTCTCTTTCTGTTATATATAAATTACCTGCCTGAAAATTTAGTTTCACAGGTGTGGTTACATGCTGATGACACTGCTGTTTATATCACTGTCAATAACAATTCCCAAGAAAGGATCTTACAATAAGACCTTGACAGTTACAGCTAGGGGACATGGAAGTTCATCCCCTTTAAAAGTGAACAAAATGTTACTATCAGCAACAGAGGTGATCTATTATTGGCCACCTTATGGCCACCTGATGACAATAAGTCTTTTGTCTTTAACATATCTCAGGGAGGGAATTAGATTATATATTTAGCTTCTCATTTGTTTAAAATGATGGTTTACAAAATAAGGGAATCAGGTAGTCCTTAAAGTAAAGATTTTATGTTAAACTGCACAGTACAGGTATTACAATGTAATTTTTTTTTCTATTTTTAGGATATCAGAGTGGTAGTAAGAGAGGTTGAGCAGACCGCCAGAGAAATTTTGACACAATTACACAGTGTACATCAACCAGATGGAATCAAATCAGGTCTGGTAACTTTACATTTTAACAAGAAATTTCAACAAAGTTATTCAGTATTTAATATTCGCTATCTCTGCAAACAAAGTTTGAAGGGGATTAACTGGAGAGAGCATGTCTGTTTGTTGGCCAATCTATCTGCTCATGTGAAATCACTTCTCCGGCCCTACAGTTAATGATGGTTTTCGTCAAATGTTATATACCTGTTTGTACTAGCATGTAAATGTACTTGTAAAAAAGCTATGAATTCCTCCCGTTCATATAGAAATCATGGCAGCTTGAATATTTTTTTCCATGCAAAATGGGCTGGTACAAAACAATTTAGCAAAAGGGTACCAGTATGTTTGCGTGTGTGGTGTGTGTTAACTGAAGGTGTGTTAAGAGGGGGCACCAAAGATGGAATTAACTAGCAAACAACACGTGAGTAAATTCCTG